CTCAAGGACAAAAAGGATTAAAAGGGAATTAAGATCTTTTGGTATAACCACAGGTGGCGCTATTACTAGAAGAAATAAAGGTGAAACTTGTTCCCCAAGTGTCAAGTCCCCTACAATAGCTAAAAATTGCATCAGTCCTACAAGGACTGAGGAATCTACACCTGCTAAGAAGCCCAGACTAATCCAAGATGTTACTGGTCCTAAAAGGGGTTTTAAAGTTGTTAATGCTATGAAGTTAGCTAAAGCAGCAAAAGCTAAAAAAATTGCTTCAATGAAAAAGTCTAACAAATCTAAATTGGCAAAAAGTCGGTTATCAGAGAGTCGGACCAACTGTGGGGTTGGGAAAAAATGTCGAGCTAAAGTGTGGATACCTCCTGTCATGACAGAAAGTGAAATGGCTCCACCTGGGGAAAAGGAGTCGTCTTTGTTAAACGTAAAGACGGAGACGGGATCTGATAATCAAAACCCCAGAGGCTCCCCTGATTCACCCCAACCCAAATTTGTTACGTCACCAATTGTATCACCTCTACAGCCTTTGTCAGTCATAGGTAGGCATCTGCTAAGGAACCAGTGTGGGGAATGTGGTCGAATTCTTAGCAGCAGTGCTGCACTGGAAAGCCACGTTAGTCTTCATACGGGACACAGGCCCTTCTCATGCACATTCTGTGGGAAGAATTTCCCAGACTCCAAGAGCTTTAAACGCCACGGCCGGGTGCACCGTAATGGTCGGATACATATCTGCCAGCATTGCGGGAAGGGATTTGTCTACCGCTTTGGCCTTACAAAACACATACAAATGGTGCATGGCAGGATAAGACCTTTCATTTGCCAGATCTGCAAAAAAGGATTCTTCACAAAACGAGACGTAGAAGTACATATTAGGATCCACACTGGAGAGAAACCATTTCAGTGTACCCTCTGTGAAAGGAAATTCATAAGAAGAGTAGAACTGAATGTGCATTTGCGATGGCATAATGGAGAGAAAAGACACTGGTGTCCATTCTGTGGAAAAGGATTTTTAGACTACAATAACCTTAAAAGGCACAAATACACCCATACAGGGGAGAAACCACATGCCTGTCCACACTGTTCAAAGAAATTCACGCAGACGGGTCACCTAAAAAAACATGTTAAAAATGTACATGGTGGTCCGTGAGAGATGGACATGTAAGAAACCATGTTCACCTTGGAACAATGGTATGCTTTGAAATAGGAAATATACATTCTTGTAATTCAGAAAATGCATGCTGTGGAGCGGGTTTTTGTTTGTTTGGTTTTTATAATGGAATTTATATGCAAATGGAGAATTTACTTATTTTGCCTTTTTGAGATAATTATTTTGTATCTTTGTTGAATGGTTCGAGAGTTTGGGAATTTGTACTCATTTGCTGCTTTGTTGGAAATCCATCCATCTGTCTTAAAGAACGGAAGCAACTTAACTAAAGCCAACAGACGAACATGCGTGCCACTTGGTACTGTTGAAAATAAAAACGATGCAATATAGACAGGCTAGACAAGTAAATCTCCCCAAAATCACAAATTGTACTTTAAAGTGATGCAACATAATGATTAGTGACAGTTGTTCTTTATACTAGCTACACTTTTGTTCCTCCTCACTAGCAAGCAGATGAGGAAACTTTCCAGAGTGTTGAACTTTTTTTTTTTTTCTTTTTAAAATGTTCTGTATGGCACTGTGTGCTCTCTGCAAAGTAAAGTGTAATATAGATGGAGATTGAGGTTTTTCAGAAATATACATCTTTAAATTTAAGTTGGTTTGTCAGAATATGCAGGTATCCTTTTCTCATACTTTTTGATTCAGTAGGTGATGTCACAAGATGTGTGAGAGCATAACCCCAGTTTGGCATGGTATTTCTTCCCGAATGTTGTACCTGAGTTAGTTTAGGGAAAATTGTTAAGGTAAATTTGGCTTCAACTCAAGTAAGCCTTTGTGGCATACATAATGCTTTTGTTTTGGACATGGACTTTAGTGTCCTAGTGGCATTTTAAAGCTGTCATCTTTTTCTTTTCTCATTTTGTAATGAGTTCGCCATAATACACTTGCATTCGTTTTTAAATATTGTCAACTGAACACATTAAAAACAGATGTTTTGTTAGTTTTTTTAATTGGTAATTTATTGATGTTGTTTTCATATATACAGTTACAAAAATTGAAGCACTTGCCTATCATTAAAAAAGAAGTATTTGATAATCTTTCCACAATAACTCTGGAAAGCACATCTTGTGACCAGTGTTGGAATTTGGATGTTGGATTTTGAAATATGCACTAAGGTTAAAACATGTCTTAATTAAATTGAGACTGAAAATACGATCTAATTTCCATTACCCATCTTTCAATTTCTGTCAGTATGCCACGTCATTACTGATGTCTAAATGGCAATGAAGTCTAATTGTATTACTTGCACTGTAATTAACCACCTCATTCAGGGAGGACTAAAAGTGAATCTTTTTTTATTTTTAAACATATTTTCATTCTGTTCAACATTGTGCTGTATTTAAAAAAAAAAAAGAAAAAAAAGATGTCTTTACTTTGGTGTAAATGTCTAATTTTTCTCAGATATGTTTGAAAAGCTAACTTTCCCAAAAAATATCAAACACAATATTAACACATTCTTTTACAGCCCTAAACCTCATTGTACATACTGTGAATTTACATTGATTTGATTTTTGTCAAGTCAAGTTGCATAGTTTGTTTGTACTGGCTGTTAAAATGAAAGAAATGTAAATAAACATTTTGTTTATAAAATTATTTTGTGATCATTTAAAAATGTGTAGCACAAGTAATAGCTTTGCAGTCCTGGAGTTTAATGATGACTTTGACTTTATGCTGTATGGTTTCAAATCAACTAATGCAAACCAATATTCTCCAGTGGGGGTAATACGCAAAAGATCTTGCACTGTTTGTTCTTCACATTATGACCACCATTTTTCAAAAGTCCACACTGCACTCAGGGCCGTTTCTAGACATGCATATATGAGGGGTAACTGTTTTTGTCAGGTAATTGGATTGCACTTTGTCAGGCCTCTACCCAAAGACCTGACCAACTTGGGTGTCCCAACTGAAGGCTGAGCTGCTGCTGGTCAAGCTTTTATGGTCACTAACGCGTGCGAAACCCCTGACCACGTTAAGGTGGCAATCCCTCAGGGGGAAAACAGAAAAGCAAAAAATAAAATTAAATATTCCTCATCAGATTCTAACAACTAAAAACATGACATTTAACTTAATTGGATAGCCTATATCGAATATATTTGAAACCAACAATAACACTTCACACTATTGCCAATATTAACAAAACTAAAAAGGGTGGGCCCAGTTATAAAAAAGAGAATTCACAAAGTCTTGAAAAATAAAACTTAAAAATAGAAATAAAAAATAAAATATCCATTCAGATCTTTAAAATCAACAACATAAAATCTGTCTTAATTGGAGGGCCTTATTCAAATACATTTGCAAAATTAAGTAAGAACAAAATAAGACCTTTCAATACTGTATAGCCAATAGGCCTACTTACAAAACTAAAAAGGGCTGGCACAGTAATAAAAAAACAAAAACATAAATACCTTTTATCGGGGTTTCATGGAAACTCAAATTAACACAGAGACATTAAACGCACCTCATTGCCTGCTCTGCCAAACGGGAGAAAGTACGTTCTTTGCAGATGCACTTCGTCTCAGAGGTAGGTTAATAAATTGGATTTAACTTAACCATAATAATAACCACAATTTGAAGGCAATGGCAAGATGCGCGGCATGGATGTTTAGCTGGGGGAGGGGGAGTTCTCTGCCGAGTGCTGTGTGAGCCTGCGCACAAAGAGTGCACGGAGGCAAAGAGCGGATGAGACGTGAAACCTATCATTTAATTTGTGCCTTTTCTAGCGGATTATTCAGCTACTGTAGTAAATCTTGTCCATATTTAGTTTGTGGGTAATTTATTATTTTCTTTCTAAACTTCTAAAAGTTTGACTTAATGGGACATGACGTTTGTTTAAGGGGGGCATTGCCCCCTCTTGCGTATAGCCATTAGGCTACCACTAATATTTCAGAAACCAAGAAAGTAGCATTATTTAGATGAAAAAGAAACACCACCAATCAGTAATTTTTGGAAGCACATGTTTATTGTATTTATTTGGACAATGTACAGTCTTCAGCTTTTAGCCCAAGGAATTATAACCCGATACATGACTTCTGTAAGGCATTATGGAGCATATTTCACTGATGTTTTTAAATCTTACTAAAAATTATACCTATAATTA